ACATCTTGTAATATTTCAGTGAATCTGTTACTAAATATTGACTTTATGGTGACATTTATCACACTGAATTTGGGGGAACTGTAAAGCACTACTGATTTTCGATATTAGTTTAGTTTTTCTTGCTCATATTTACAACTTTGTAGCAGTAGAATAACTTTTAAAGTCACCTTTAACATCACATTTTCTAGCAACACAACTTTTGTTACATTAAACAGCAGTCTTCAACTTTGAAGCTATTTCAGCCACACACTTTGGCTCCACACCTGGTCCTGCTCATAACTTATAAAGTCACTTCTAATGTTTGTCCGTTGTTTTGACAAAAACACCCACGTGACCCTTCTGTTACTTACCTGTGCTGTAACGCCACGAGTCCCAGAGTTAGGACCTGAGCCACCTCCAGCTGTGTGGGCCACTCTCCGGAGGCCACACAGCCGAAAACCCCGCACTCCTCCCCGATACCGGACTCCTCAAACTCCATCCCGCCGCTGTCGGTCCTCGTTCACCCGACGGACGGTCTCGTGCCTGCTCCTACAGGCAGCAATCAGCGCGTGCGTGCCTGAACGCGCTCTGATAGCAGTGACTGAACACGTGCCGCAAGAGTTGAGCAAAGGAAACAACGTGGCTCGTTAAAACAACAGCGTAAACTCTGCTGACATCGTTGAAGCGGCCGTGAACTCAGGACTGAGGAAACTTTGTGACTCTTAAATAAAAAGTTTACAGAGTGCAGCTTTAACGGCAGGAAGCGGCCACCATCATTGTTATCACATGAATGTATCAAACACCTTCAAACTACGAGACACACGTGGTATTTGGCGACAACAAAGAATCTATGTCAGACTAATCGATTCGGTCAAGCAGCCAATTGTTTCTTCTTGATGAAATTTTGATAAATCAATCTTCTTGTAAGAGAGAAAATGGGGCTTGTTTAATGGATAAACTCCAAAAAGTTCTTCGCCTTGCAAATATTTGGTGCTGGAGCATCTTCCTCCCACGTGGCGATGAATGCGGGGCTGTGATTGGTTATCAGAATGAGCTGAGGGCTGTGATTGGTTATCAGAGCACGTAAGAGACACTCCGCTTCCCTCTTCTGCTGCCTGCACGCCTCCTGACTCTTCATCTTGAAACTTTGCAGAGTTGACAGCTCGGCCCATTTTGTATTTTGTTTTCCAGGACTGCAGGCTGATAAACAACAACAGCACCAACATGGCCTCCGCACCAGGTACAGTACAACCACCAGTGCGTGTTGTGTGAGCATACACTCACTATACAGCGTTTAATGTGGAGCTTTTATTCTTTGGTGTGTGCGTGTTTCTTTTACTAATTAGAGTTGAAAATCGGCCAGAAGCTAAATGAGGGAAAGACGAAGCAGATTTTTGAGCTTGTGGACCAGCCCGGACTGGTTCTGGTCCAGTCCAAAGACCAGATCACCGCTGGGAATGCCGTGAGGAAAGACCAGATGGAGGGCAAGGCTGCCATTGCCAATAAAACAACGAGCTGCGTGTTCAAGCTGCTCCAGGAATCTGGTGAGGATCTTTTGAATGGATCAACCGACTGTAATAACTTTTCTGCCAGAGTGTGTCACACTCCCCCTGAGGCCTCTTTCCCACATGTTGAGTAACATTGCTGTTGAGAGGTGTAAAGCCAGAAGGGTGTAATTACTGTAGAAGTAGTTTTATAAGCACTCCCTCCTCACAGCATAATGAATGAATGGATGCCACTAGATCTTTTGGGCTTCCAGTTTGACCCTAGTGAGAGATAAGAGGTCAGTGAGGTGACTGTATGCAGACAGAAAGACAACCTTTGGCCTATTTACCAGCTGTGTTAGCTGTTAGGAAACAGAAATCCACCAGTTTCACCATTTTAAAAACCCTCCAGTAGCCATAGTTTGTTATTTACATTATTGACTGATAGTAAAACATGTAACTTATCATTCTTTAAAGCCGTAGTTGACATATTCAGGTAGCTTGTTTTGTCTGTCAGTCAAAAACCTAAACACATATTTAGCTTAATATAATATTTTTTTTAATTGTTTATTTTATAAAGACTTTTTTTCAGCTCTTTTTGGAACACATGGGCTTGGCTACACACTCATGATGGCAGGTACAGTACCCAATTACTTAAATTAAAGCAAAGGTTGAAGAGTTCATTTTGAATCTGGGCTCTTTTATGGACCAAGTTCAACATCAGCAACATGACCTCTACACATTGTCCAATTTAACTGGACCATTCTGGAACATGCATGAGATCAGTTCAAAAAGTGTGGAGAATATATATAATCTTCAATATATATATGATATATAATATATCATCTCTGCTATATTTAAGTATATATTACTATATATATATATATATAATAATATAATATAATACATATTATAGTTATATATATATAGTATAAGTTATCTAATATAATATTATAATATATAGAAGAGAAGTAATATATATATATATATATAAGTATATATTATATATATATAATAATAATATATATATATATTTATATATATATTATGCTATCTCTATTATATCTCTATCTCTATCATCCTCATCCATCTCTACATCTCTATTCAGCTCTTTTGGAACAACATTGACGTCTCCACCTTTCCCTTCATGACAATTCATATAACTACTCCAGATTTGTAGTTTTCAAATTTATAGTTTGTATTCTTACTTAACCTTTTCTTGTAAGTAAGGATGTAATGTGCTTCAGTTGTAATTCTTAGTACACTATTATTTTTATCTATTATATATATATATTATATATATATCTATAATATATCTATTATATATCTATATCTATTATCATAAGATATATATATAATATCTCCTCTCTCTATCTCTCTTATACCTATATATAATATATATATATATCTCTATATCTATTTCTTTATTCCTATATCCTATATATATCTATTCTTACTCATATCTATATCTCTTATATATATCTATCTCTATCTCTCTAATCTCTATCATCCTATATATAATATATAATATAATATAATATATATATATATATATATATTATATATATTAGAGATAGAGCATATAAATATAATTAATATAGATATAAATAATTATAGATAAAAATAAATAGGTACTTTAGAATTACAACTGAAGCCACATTACCATCCTTATTTACCACAGAAAGGAAGTAATACAAACTAATAAATTTTGAAAAACTACAAATCTGGATAGTTATTAATGTCATGAAGGAAAAATGCTGGAGACG